GTTCGTTCCTCCATAGCCCCTTTAGATGCTAATCCAGACGCTGCTTTCAAACGACGTCTGGATTAGCATCTAAAGGGGCTATGGAGGAACGAACACTTGTGATCGGACCTTCGACCCAGTGGTGATGGGGGTTACACGGGCACCCTGCCCTCTGCCCTCAATCCTGAAGACAAACCACCCTTTGCACACATAACTGACACGTTATAGTTCCCATCCCTCCACACGCTTCCAATTCTTCCAAATTTCATCTCGAATCTCTGCTTACCGAAATTCACCTGTACCGTTTACTCACAAACAAAGAGAGGGAGATAAAATGAACTTTGTCTTAACCTTGACTTATGAAATGTCCCCAAGTCTGTAATTTTTTTCTTCCCATTGATGGTGTACTTTGTGACGGTTGGTGTGAGTAATTTGGTAACTGAAATGTGAGCTCCATTGCCTGCAAAAGTTATATACATAAAAAGAAATATTTTCCGTTTGTCCATCATAAATTTGGCAAAATTTAGCTAGCATTTGGCACGGGTCTACCGATTATTGCTAGTTATGCTTAATTGCAGCCCAGAGCATTAACTGATTTAGACCCAAGTATTTTATTTTCAATGGGGAAAATTGGTTTGGAAATTTACCTCGCGTCCCTCAGTTCAACGAATGTAATGTAACTCATAGAATTAAAAGAATTTAACCAGAATTGAAATACCAAGGCACCACAAATAAATGAAATCACTCCTTGACAATTCTGGTATTACAAAACAATCTAAAGTAGAATTGACAAAACATAAAATTATTGGCTGCTAAAGCGTATACACGGGCTCACCAAAACCTGTGGTAAACGCATCCAGTGTCAAGCGGCCCTGTTGATCCTTATCCAAGATGGCAAACACTTCGTCCAGCTGTGCACTGTCCAAAGGAATCTGTCCTTGAAGACAATTCAAATCTTCCCGGGTAATAAATCCGCGACCTTCCGGATCGCATTGTTCATACAAGGCGCGCACCCCTCCGACCAGCGAAACTTCGGAATCCATGGTCTCACAGGATGATCGATGCTAAATCAGGCCCGGTGTAAATTCCGTTGCTTCGCTTATTCGAATGACCCAATCACTGTTTGCCTAACGCTTATCTTCACTTTGCTATGACCGAATGTTTAACTAACTCCTGGGGAGCAATAGACGTCATTGAGTTCACAGGTGAACTCTACTTCACACACAGCCAGTGTGTGCGTGCGTGTGCTATGAGGCAAACGGTGCGCTTGTCCGCCCCAAACGATAAAACCATACCGATTTTCGTTGAATTACCAAGCGAGGGTGTGTGTGCACTTATTGATCCAGTTTTGATTTCATGGTTTGAGGGAGACAGAGAGATAGAGCACTCAATTATCTGTGTCTGTCTGTCTGTGCCCCCAATTACAATTCATGTAATCAATATAAACGGCCATTTCAGGTGACCGACAAATTGAGGCTAATTAGATTTGGCGTTCTCTTTCACGCGTGTTCGTTACATTTTGGCCTTTGCAAATAAAATATGGTGGTTGGCGAGCACACCTATAGACACGTTACGGTGCACACATGTGCGCGTGTGTGTGTACTTCTCATTATGTACTTCTATACTCATACGTATGATTTTGAACGATCCTTTGAGTAGTATTCGTAATATGGGATCGGAATTAGAATTGATGGTTAAATTGTTGTTTAGCAGATTGAAGTTTTATGTGGAAATTGTGAAAAGTTCAGTAGCTTCAGTGGAATTGGAACCCATGCATGGACGAACACGTACGTTTTTGTACAGTGCACATTTTTGATTGCGCACACCCAAGTTGTAAATGATAATCTGTTGTTGTAAACAGCTGAAAAAATTGTATAAATCAAACCTACTATGCATTTGAATATCATTCTGGTCTTATAGCGCGCAATCCATCATCCGGAGATAAATGTGATCACATCTGGAGTACCTCCGCAGTGGTCTCGCATGGAAGCATTCCAACTTGGCTACTTAATATAAGGATTTCATTTTTATGTATTTCGTTAAAACGGCTATCCAGTGTTTCTTAACTTTTCAGATCATGCTTCATTTGCTGTGTACACGAACAAATTTGCCACACACACCGACTCCAGGTTTACCGGTTAGCACAAAATACTATCCGTCGTAGCTTCAAGTGAATCCGTTGTGAAGTGAATCCAACCAATCGCATACTACTAGGAACACAACAAGATACTTGGTTCTACTGCCGTCACACGTCACCAATTGGACCGAGTCTATCGAAACTCCGTCCAATCGGAGTGAACTGATACCTCCATCGTCAAACAAGGGTACTTCTTAAGTAATTTACCGAGCGAGGATGAGAAAATCTGTGAGGTTTGAATGTTCGTTCTCACACGTTTCTTTCGTAGCCAGAAGCATTAAGGAATCACTGCTTTACTACTCATTAGTAGCCCAATTATACTGGTCAAAATAAACGATAGGGCTTCAGTAGATCTCATTTCAATAATACCTCCTTCCTTGTATGCACACAAAAAACTATCCACAAGTGCTTTCTATCAACCAAAAGCAAAGCTATTTTTCCGCTTTCTGTGAGCATACCCAATGAAAAATCACCCATGCATTTCTTGAACCAAACGCAATCGATGAAGTCAAGTGAATTACAAATGATTTTCGACTGAAACAACATTTACAAAAACTCGTGTATGAATTATTATTGTGTAGGTCTTACGTTCTGAGGATTCCTCAAGTCCCTTATTGTTCCGTAAGGCAAATGATGGCCAGAATTCCATTAGCCTAGCTGATAATGAGCATTGGAAATTTCTTTCGTTCCTACCGCCAAGTGCAAGCAGAGTGTTCATTTTTTGTCCCAACCGGGAATTTAATCACCGAAATGCCATCCGAAACACCCACCTGTGTGTCACATGAACAATGGCTAATAACGTGGGTGAATTGCTGCATTTACAAAATAACAACATGTTTAGTTTGATCCGTGGAAGCCAGGGATTTTGTGGTCAGTATTGATCATGCGGGCATCAGCATCTTTATTTAGTCCAATCCAAAATTAACATATTTAGCATTCTATAATGATCAGGTGTGATCGGTATAGACGCTTGTCGAACCACGGGCGTGATCGAGATTTCTGTGCGAGCCCGAATCTCTTCAAACTCTGGAAAAGAAAGAAAGAGCTGACATTGATTGTTTGATACACAAGTCCTTCACTACGATTGGTTCAATCGCTAATGCAGTCTCAGATTAGACGACATTCGCTACCCGAATAGACTTGCATCGATACCCTCAGTACGTACACTCCAAGTAAATAAATCGAGCAAAGAACCCTTCACAGTAGTAAATAAAAAATGTTAGATTCATAAAAGATCGCTTCCACTTGGCAGAATTAGTATCTTGGTCACAGCGAGTGTTTCTCCAACTCCGTTTTGAGTGCACAAAAGCAGTTTTTTACATCTATCCAGGATTAGGTGACCCAAATCTCGGTTCTGAAGTACTTCTACAATCAAATCGAATGAACGTGATCGAAGATTCCACCAATGCTCTGAGAAACTTCCATCGATCTGGTATCAACAGAATAGTGAAATAGAACACAGCTGGAAGCGTGTAGGAATTCATTTATCATTCGGGAATCATGACCACTGGTAGGGAAGAGAGAGAGATCAGGGCATGCATCGAACGATTGAGTAACTGGATTGCTATCAACCGTATTGATTGACCGGAGTTTCAGACCAATAACCTGAGTTCCGATATACTCTTTCTGATTGGTTGTCTCAGAACAAAACAACAATTCTCAGGAGAGTAAGCTGACGCCCTGACACAATCATCTTCCAGTTAACACATCGGGAACGTTAAGGAACTGAGGAAAAAACTCGAGTCCAGTGTGCTTCAATTGCATCCAACTAGTGTTCGTTTCTTCACGTGTCATGCTATTAAGGAGGCAACACTGCAGGTGCTTCCGATTGCCCGCAGCGACCTAGCCTATTGATCGCATTTGAACAGTAGGGAGACGGAAAAGGTTCTATTCCGGGCGATGTACCACCGTTGTTGTCCGTCTAAAAGTCGTTCACAGGAAGTGAAAATCTACTTCTGATTTTCCACCAGAGCAGACCTACTTGCGCTCCCATATTACCAAGCGTCTGAAATAGCCCTA